TCCACGGGAACAACTCACGGGCGTCTTTCATCAGATCGGCCGCTTTCACTCTGCGCGGCTCACGCTGCGGTACAACGCTGCCATCGCTCTCACCCTCGTCCTCCAACTCATCCCCAGAAGCGTTACTCTCGCAGCTGCTTAATGCCCTGCTGCTGTCTTCTTCTTCTCGAGTTTCGTCTTCGATGACGCGGAGATAGTAGCACACAAACCTGACCATGTAGCTTGCATACCTCGCCTGACTCTCCGGGTTCTGCAGCCGTGCCAACGGTCGCGGGTCAACCTCGTGCTGCTTTGCGCTGCGAAGCCAACGGCGTAGTTCTCGCGGAATTGTTGCAAGATTCTTAACACAGTTTTCGATAAGCTGCTCTGTAAGTTTCGCGGCAAGCTGCAGCTTTGGTTCGTTTTTATCGGGTAGCCGGACTTGATGTGCTAGATGCACTAGATTGCGGTCCTTGAAATGCTCTGGCCATTGCGTGCGCTTAAACCAGAGCGTCTTATCAGTCTTTGCTGTCTCTCCTACGACTTGTTCTGCGTCTTTGAGTTGCTTTCGGACTTGTTTGTAGTTATTGAGTTGTTGCTTATCAACGCTTTGTTGCTGCCCACTTCCGCGACCAATCTTGGCATCCACATTAACGACAAAATATTTGCGCAGCCCTCCACTGTTGAAAAACGTCTGAACTTTAACTAAAGTGAATAGACTACTCTTGTCACTGATCTACGGAAGCTCGTGTGTTTTTTTACAGTGCTTCCGCATTTCGTCGCTGCTTACGGTAATGTAACTGCATGCTGTACACCTAAGACCATCTAACGGCGCCCCTAGCTCTTGTATTGCTTTCGCTGGCTGCCTGGGAAGTTGAATTGTGCTCGGCTCTGCTGTGGAAAATTGATTGAAATATTGAACAACCTCTTGTCGCTGTTGTACGGGCGTCTTGTGCTGTTCTTGTAGATGCCTGTTAAGATTCAAGACGCCTGTGCAGTGCTGCCTGCACACAAGCACTTTATATTGCCTAAGAAAGCAAAATACATCGTCGCAATTCTCCTTCGTAACGATCTTCGGCTAGTGCTGCACGTCTGTGGCGCGCGCGTTGCTGCTGTCGTGCTGCTCGATGGGCGCTCGACTGTTCCATGTGGGGTTCTCTATTGTCGCGCAACCCTAAGAACGCAACCCTAATAACAACAAACTCTAGCTGCACATAGTAAAACTCTAGTAGCGGGTTGTGCATGCGCTTTTGAGTTAACTTTGTATGACACAGTTTTTGATAACGATAAAAAAATGTCGTGGGGCAGCTGTGTTGGGGTACGCGGGGCATCCCTTAAATATTCGCCCGATTTGGTTTTCTACCCTAACGCTAAGCGGGTTCTAGCGCGGGGAAGGGCTGTCCCGTCGTATCATATTGGTTAGGGGTTCTGAAAGCCTGGCTCCAACGCGGTGGGCTTATAACAGCCACGTCATCTCTTGGTACAGGTGTTGATTATCCTGAGATTGTCAGAGTACTTCACGTGGATACGCCTTATGGCGCGATGGATTTCGCCCAAGAATCAGGGCGTGCTGGTCGCGAAGGGCAGCTGGTAGATGCAGTCATATTAGTTGAAAGCCCTCGTCAGAAAGCACCTGCACTGGACATACCAGTAGACCATTCGTGGCATGCACTTGACGAGGCCGCTATCCAGGAATTTATCAATCCCCGCCTGGGCGCCTGTCGACGGAGTATCTTGAGCCTCTTCCTGGACGGTCAGTCAGTTACATGCACTCAAGCCCAGGCAGCCAATTGCGACCTTTGTGGTAAAGGCAGTACAGAACTCACCAATGTCTTGAAACAGGACGCCCAAGAAGAAGCCAAGCTGAGAAACACCCTGCAAGAGTTAGTCAACGGCTGCCCAGTCTGCTGGCTAAGAGGCTCTCCAACTTGGCTGGATCACTTACACTCACATTGCGAATGGTGTACAACCGTTGAACAAGGCCTGAGCGTAGAAACCTGCGACTATGTTAGAGCCCGCAAGCTTTGGTGGGATCAAGGGAAACGGGGGGTTCAGAGTACACACACCTGCTGGAAATGCGGTATAAGCCAGCACTTCTGCGCTACTGGGCAGGACGAGGCCAGGCCCTGTCAGTGGCCAGGGGTGATGATTCCTGTTCTTGTCAGCGTGGCCTACTGTTTGACAATATCAGGAGAAACCCTACATGAAAAGCTGGGGTTTCCGAGATTTAACAGCATTAAGACCCCAGAGGATATGCTGACTGGTAATTTCTACTGGCTTGCAAAAAAGCACGGCTGTCGAAAATGGGGTTATGTTGTGAGCAACGCTATGGTTGTCTTGGCGGCTGTCCTGACCCATTCTGACGTACGGGAGGAGATTAGTCGTTTGCTACGCCGCGATAGTGTCAGTTTACATGCAGTGTCACCGGCTACCTGCTAGCCAAACAGCGAATAGGTGTTGTCTTGGCAAGAGGTTTCAAGTCCTCCAAACATCTATGCTGCTGAGAGTTGTAAAGGAATAGGCCGCCAAAGGGAACAGAATAGATCCATCTCGCAATAGTTATACTGCTTGACAGGATAGTGCCCCACCAGCGCACCCATCTATGTCGCCCACCGCCAGCGAAGCGACCCTAAACTATTCTGTTTGATAGGCCATGGGGTTGGATTTGCTCCATTTCCTCTGCTCTGCCGAAGCATCACAGAGGTCGGAGGGTCCCTAAGACAGGGTCTCCACAAGAAACTGAGATTTTCGACTACATATGCATGACGCTTCGCGAGTACCCCTAAAGGTACAGAAAGCAGGATACAATCGCCAGCTGGGTTTCCCCGAGAGCACAGTTAGATACACGTCTAACCAGCCCTACTAACTCTTAATTGTGGATACTGATATAGAATTAAATTGCAAGGGGGTTTTAGGGACGAGGGAACATAACATCCAGCACCCTGTGACGAGCCACAGGGTGCCTTAGTACGAAGAACAAGTGGTGAATATTACTCACTCAACCCGAAGGAAGGAGGTAATTGGAACGGGACAGGACAGGACAGGACGGGACGGGACAGGACGGGACGTAGTCAAAACCATATTACCGATTCGGCTGAGATAATCTTTTTGTCAGAAGACCAATATTGCCAACTTGGCTGGGGCTAGAACCACGTTCGCACGGCGTTGGACAAACCAACAGTGCAACTCCACAACATTTCCTCCCAGCCTCTCAGAGACCAGTCATGTGCGAGAGTATGGCCTAGCACTATTTTACTAAAGTAAAATGCTAATCATCTTTTGGGAGGGTTTTTGGGGAACGCCTACGCATCTCGTCGCACCAACCCCGGTTTACCGACTACTATTTTGCAGTAGAGCCTTGGCTGTAGCTCATACATTCCCCAATCTGCCCTCTTAGAGTTGATACCCTGCCTGGAACCTCAAGTATTCAATCGGTGTTACCCTCTCGAATACCAAAAATCTGTTCAATAATATTCCTCCGCAGTACCGCCTTCCTTGGATGGGGTAGCCGTTTCTCAGGCTACCTCTCTGGAATTGAACCCTAATTCCCCGTTACCCGTTGAAACCATGGTAAGCCAATACCTTACCATCGAAAGTTGATAGGGCAGAAATTTGAATAAACCGTCGCCAGCGCAAGGCTATGCGATCTGTAAAAATTATTATGAACCACCCAAAAGCCCCGAAGGGCATTGGGCTTTGATCTAATCAACGCATCCCTTCCGAAGTCGGGGTTTTCAGCATGTATCAGCTCTAGAATTACCACGGATATCCAAGCGGTAAGGTATTTTCAAATAAACGATAACTGATTTAATGAGCTATTCGCAGTTTCACGGTATAATTTGCCCGCACTAGGATTCGCATTACTGCACAACTCTAGGCGTGCACCGCCCGAATCCCCCCTAGGGAGGTTTCAACGCGGTATAAATTGCTTAATCTAGAAGACAAGCATACGAGTTCCCCAGTCATTTCCTCTGGTGTAGCGAGAAAGGCGTTTCCCCCGATGCAAGCATAACTAGAATCAATTCCTGAGGGGAGAGGTTACTCGGAAGCTCACGCACACGAAGCGCGGATAGCTAAATTTTACCTCCCCTTTCAAGATTGCGCCTCACTTCCGGGGAAGGAAGTAAGGACCTTTTCAGTTGTTCAGATAAGCAAGGACCACGTCTCCCGGACTAAGAACTATCACGAGGCCGCAAGACCTCGTGATACCAAACGGATCATCCGTTACGGATAGAGCGGGGATTACGTGTATAAATAAGCCTTCACCAGTCGCCTGCAAAATCTGAGACAGTCGCCGAGCCCTGGGTAACGCGCTGGCCAGAGTTAACGTCGCTGCAACCGATACCCCTGGAAACAAGGCTTGAAAGTATGATACCAATTTTGAATAATGCAGTCAAGACTACGTTGAAGGTTTGAGCAGTCGAAGACACTCAAGTCCCCTAGACTACCAACCAGACCTCTCTACCAAACACTGGAAGATAGAGAGTTAAACGTCTAGAGTTACCGCGACGTCGATCTGGCTGGGAGGGCATTACGCGCGCCTCTGGATTGCTTCCTTCCTGCAGCTTGACCACTGTCCCCCCCGAGAGGTCACGTTTTTTCAGGGCGGTGTCTGAATTCCCCCAGGTAGCCCGGTTGCCCAGGCACCCAACGTTTGTAGGCGCCCCAACGTATCGAGGCACCCAACTGCTGTTGGCGCCTATCCTTAAGGATGGGCGCCCGTCTACTATCCCTCAGTCAAGCTTGCCATCATGAAAACCCCCAGAACCGTTGAAAGTTTCACCGGTCGAAGACACTTAAGTCCCCTGGACGGCTTGCTTTCTGCACCTTGATTACTGTCCCTTGAGAGGGTACGTTCTTGCAGGAGGTAGCCCGGTTGCCCGGGCACCCAACTGCGCGCCTATCCTTGAGGATAGTCGCTCGCCTTCTACCACCTGTCCATTTCGTTATTATCATCCCCCGGAGTGAGAGCCTACCCATCAACCAACGCACTCTTGGCAAGCTGAAATTCGGGTGTCTCAACTGGCCGTCGGCTTCGGTCGATAATTGGGTGCCCTCTTATGTAGTGTAGGAACAGCGTTCGGCTCGAGATTCGCGTTGCGGGGTTTAGGTGGCGGAAAACAGCTCGGAGGTGCGGTTTCTTGTATAGGAAACCGTGTAGACATGCGCAGCCCCATACAAACCATAAAGCGATTCCGCAAAGTATAGAGTCTAGTAGTTCGCGCCAGGTATACTGGTTTCCAGCATGGACTGGCTCATACAAGCTGTATACCGATCGATATCGCAAAGTTTTGAGTCTAGTAGTTTGCGCAAGGTCTAGTAGTTTGCGCAAGGTCTAGTAGTTTGCGCAAGGTCTAGTAGTTTGCGCAAGGTCTAGTAGTTTACAACGTTATATGTTGATATCTCTATAAGTAGAGCAGCTATTTACAAACTAAATACAGATTTGAAATTGTGGCGTAATTCTATATTAAATTGTGTGGCTAGAGCGCTGCAATAGTGGCTGTGCAGCGTGCAGTCACGTGAGGAACAT